ACGTTTCCGTTATGTATGTATTTGTGTAACGATAAATGGGCCCAGCCAAAGGTCCTCTAATGAATGCTTTTTGTTTTGGTTTTTTATTAGAATCTTAACTCCCATCTGAAAAACCGGTTCGCGTGCGGATTTGTCATAATAATCTTCGTTTTTATTTTTTTATTTAAGAAGATTATCAAAATGATATCCTCCTTCCTGCTCCTGTCTCTCGTGAATATTATATTGATGTAATTCCCCTTACAAATATTGTACCTCTTACCGACAATTCATTAATTAATTACCCTATTACAGTACTTTCTGATTATATATCTATTCATAATCTTAACGATTTATTAAAACTAAAATCTAATTGTATACAGCCAGAGCACGTTCGATCGTACTCTCTTTTTATTACCGTTCTTATTATATTATTAATTGGTAACCTAATTTTCTTTCTTATTTTTATTACTGTCAAATTACTCACTAATAAAACACCCACAATCGAAGGAACAGCAGAAGAATTAACTGAACTTCACAATAATACAGATGATTGTAATAATACAGCTAACCATTACATTTCACCTATTGTATTAAATCCCAACTCTTCTGCAACAAATGTAATTAATACAAGTCACTATGACATACTTCATTCTAGTACTATGTACTCGGTCTATCCGAGACTTTAATTTTGTATGTATTTGTTTTGTTTAATTGGTATTAACTATTGTTTGTATATATATACTTATGTATAGGTGATGGATGTTATTTTAGATTAGTATTGTTTACTATTGTCTATCATTGCATTATTGTATTATAATTATTGTCTATTATTGTTCTTCTCTGTTTATTTTGTTAAATTTTTTTTTTTTGGGGAAAACCCATTGTTTTTAGTGTCTTTCTATTTTGTGGTGGGGGTGTAGTAAGCACACGCTTACTTATTATATTATTATGTATTTATGTACTTATTATGTACTTACGTCATTACGACATACACTTTTCAGTTTCATATTATTTCCTTGACTAGCTATTTGCAACCTGCGTATTTAACTACTTTGTTATAAGTCGTTAATACTAGTTTCTCTTGTTCTAAACCTATTTTATGTTGTTTGTTACAATTAACTAATTTACACATTACTATATAAACTTATCTATTTCTCTGTACAATTGTCAGTCTTCAGCCAGTCAGTTAAAACGCAGTTTACACAGTGCTCATTAAAACAGTTAAAGTTATTTTTCAAAAAGTGTTTTTATTTATAATAGTCTACATTTGTTTCTCATATACTTTATGTACCTATGTAAAATCCCTTTCCGGGCTTACTACAGAGAGGAAAATTGATTGCTTTCATTCAAAGTTTTTGATTTTATCACCAAATATGACAAAATGAAAAACAGTTAATCTACGACTGCTAGAATATTTTTCAATTCTCAAATTATGATAAATAGAATCTTTTGTGCAACTTTATTGGCTTTAGCAAAAAACGTATGGTCTAATATTATATAGTTGGTTGTTAAACCCGCTATACGAAAAAGTTCTAGACATTTTTCAACAGTTCACCATTTAACATATGACAATTCTTAGAAACAAAAGTTCTTTAAAAACAGTTTTACGGGAATATGTATTTTTTAATCATAAAAGTAAAAATTCTACATCAATTTTTCTGAAATAAAATTTACACATTATTATCAGTATCGACGCTATTTAGGTACACAGGTGTTATATGCATAACCTTCTACACCCTTCACATAAACGCACAACTACACATAAGCACATTTATTACTCATATTATAATGATGTCACTCTGTTAAATATAAAATAACCGCACATCTATTATAATTGTGAAACGTGACTCATGGTCAGTAATTAAAACACACCAGTATAATTGTCTAGCACAATGATTGGATGGAATTGTAAATGTATGTTTCATATACAGAAGCTTTTCGGTTTCCGTTCCGCTTAATTAAACTATATGGGAAAAATATGTTATTACCATTTTATCGCAAGTTAACACTAATTAAAATAATCATCCGATGTGCGTCCGCTGTGGCGTCCGCCCATCAATAAGCTAAAGCCTACACAAATTCCCACAATAATACATTACACAAATTATCATGTCCATATAAATAGGAGTGGGATCCATTGCTAAACCAGACGAATTACCAGACTCAACTAGTATACTACTCTGTGACAGATTGTCCATTTTTATGTTTTACAAGTGTTAATAAAAAATCAAACTTATATTTTAAAAGTCTTCAATTATTTAAAATACATCTTCCTGAATTGGTTTCGACTTTGAACAACAAATACATTTCTTAATAGTTCTGGTACCAGTAATCAGAACTATTACACAGGGCTGTAACTACCTAATCATTATTCTTGCTACAATGACAATTACCTACCTATATCGATAGCCACAAATTATTTGCCAATAAAATAACATTAGTAATCGTTTAAAGGACTGCAACTCTGTACATCCGTTTTAAAATGTTACTTTTAATCACCATTTTGGTATCATAGAATGACCATTATCCTTACTTTTTGTATTTTAACTTCGACGTGGACCTTAATCAGGTCCACATCGCTATTGGTCTATTGGTTTTGCAACGATGTGCACTTATTTTTTTGTGTCTGTACCCACTGTTTTTTTTTGTTGGGTAAAAATATAAATTGGTAACAAAATTTCGAAATCAGCGTCTCGAAAAACATAGTTTGACCGCCTTTGTAGTCTTTTTACACTAGAATTCAGAAAAATGTGACCTAATAATGTGAATAAAAGCACAGAAAAATAGTATTTTTAATTTTCGATGCAAAACATGTTTTGTGTTGAGTTGTTATTTGTCAAATAAAGTTGAAAATATCTTAGTCGATAACACGTTTTATAATGTTTTTTTTAATTTTAATTGCCACTTTAAAGTATTCAAATAAAAAAACACTGATCCTATCAGAATATTCATATTTTACAAATTAAAATAATATCCCTTAATAATAATTATTATTTCATTCGTTGCAATCATCTTTTTTTTTTACCATTCTTCTTGACAACATTATTGTTTTTACAATCAACCTTTACTTTGGTGCTCTTTCTGCAAATGCACTGAAGTAGACAACGAGATTTTGACAATCAATTGTTACCTTTTCACGGCCGCCGAACTTAAGAACTCTGTCATTTATATTTACAGACATGTTACTATCGCAGTTTTTTATTCCATCTTCAACGACTTCAGCAACATTGGCAGAGGCGTCCTCAACGGTCATCAAAAATGTATTTTCCATTCTTAATATTATATTTCCTGGAAGTTCATTCTCAACTGCTTTACTTACGGATGTTCAACTGCAAGTTAATAGAAAGGATTTATGAATAATTGTAATGGCAGCCAAAAATCTAGTGGTGTAGAAGCCGTGCCAATAGAGTTGTAATTTGTTCTTCCATGAAAGTGTAATATTTTACAAAAATAATTGATTTAACAATATGTTTGTTATTATCGACGCAACATTAAAACATTACAACAATGTTAGAGTGATTTCAATTTTTATTTATTTCAAGAGTTTTAACTTGAACATTTTCCCAAAGATCTAATAACATCAACACTAAGGGTTTTAACTGTCTTAACTTATATTTGTTTCATTTTCATTAAATAAAATGCTTAAGTCTTGTATTAAGTTTTTACATGTCGGCCTTTTGTTCAAATGGAAAAAGTTCCTTCCTGCTTCTTAGTTCTTACTAAAAAAAGTTAAACCTAATCAAATGATCCTTCACTATTAGATGGAATTGCATTTATTCTACTTAAAATTGAACAGAGCAAAAGAAAGTGATGTCGCTCCCTTTCTCTATTAAATATTTACCCACAATATCCAAATAACATTGTAAAGACACACTTTCTCGATACCGACCCGTATTAAATATGATTACCCCCTTGTGGACAAACCAATAGAATAGAAGATTCAAATTAATGAAATACTTATAAGTACTTTATTAAACTAATTATAAGTAAAATGCTAGTCATGCTTAATAATCAAATTCTTTCTACAGCCATTGCAGTTAAGTACATCAACACCGCAGTTTTAAAAAAACCATAACTATAAATAAATCATGGATCGAGTAAAATGCACTCTACGTACTACAACTGAAATTGTTTATAGTATTTCTTTTTGTTTATTTGGACTCTTAAAATATTTTCTAACCAGTTACACAGGCAACTTATACTTTGGTCTCCGCGTAACCTTGATTAATTTGTTTATGATTTGCAGTCATAAATAATTGTTCTTAGGTCGGGTTGTGTTCCATATAATTTAATTTGATATATATTAAATTTGATTTGGTTCTTTCAATTTTTTCAGCTCAAATAGATGTCTATGTCTTGGACAAAGTTAAACTCAATTCTTTTAATATTAAAGGTAGAAGATGAATACGAGATAGGTAACAGAGGTGTAATTTTTTTCTATATTTTTATTACATTTTCCTAATTATCTAGTTAACTACTTTCGGCGTTCGTCAATTAAAGACTCCTAGTGGGAAAACGCAAAAAAATGTTTTTAAATTTTAAGTTATATGACTGTACAACATGAGTACATTTCAATCATAAGATGTTTAATTTTAAATCATTGAACAACAACATAAGTTCTTAAATAGCGTAATATGTAGAAAAAAAATAAATGCCTTTTATAGTATCTATTATATATTAGGTATTAACCACCTCTCAGCTTCCTACCTAAAACACTTTTATGTAAGGACGTTCGAAGAGTGGAAAATTATTATCCAAATTATTGTAAGTTCTTTTTTGGCTTCCGTTGATCGAGTACTGCAAATTAGAAAACATTAATATTAAGAAATGACAAAATTAAAAATATATAACAAGTAGTTCATTTGAATTAAAATACATGATTTAAACTTTAAAACATTGAACAACGTTTAGTTATTAGATTACAAAAATAAACAACAAAATGTAGAATATAAGATGTGTTGTGAAAAAAAAAAAACTAAAGAATTATGCATATTAATATTATATATAAATATATTATTTTTAATATAAATAATATTTTATCACATGTTAAGGACTATTTTATTTGTTAAAAACCACATTAGGCCAAAAAGAAGACTAGTTGATCCGTTTAATACATCGGATTGTGTAACAATATCTCTTATTTGCGGAATAGTGTATTCCACGACGTCAATGTCTTCTCCTTCATTTTCAACGCCACCTCCATCAGAAACTTTCATATGATCAGTCACTTCTGTGTAAAAATATGTTTGAGTTGTTCCAGTGATGCTTAAGCCGGATCTAGTGAAAAAACGTGAAAAAATTGAATTAAATAATTTAAAGCAATTATTTATTTCAAGTTGGGGACTTGCCTGCAACTAATGATTTTTTGTAAATCTGAAACTTTGATTTCGTAGCCACATTCTTCTCGTACTTCATCAACAGCTATTTCTTCTAAGGATTTGTTTTTGTCTACAATACCAGCACAAAATTCTACTGTTAACCCATTTGTAGGTGGATACTTCTCAGTATCAATTGGTCCTTCTGCAGGTCTATCAAAAGCCGGGATACATTTATAGTACACAGCTAAAACGTAAACATAATGGTCTTTTTATAATATTAGTAGCAATATAAAAAGCAATTGTTGTATTACCCGGTCGAAATTGTTTCACACATACTAAAGTATTTCTGTTTCTGTTGTAAATTATAATAAAAACACTGCAAAGAAAAAACAATAATAATTACACATTTTATTACTGTCCTTGTTTTATTTTATTTAGTAAACTTTAATAATGAATCTAAAAATAAAAGGAAATATATTTTTCTGTTTGAGTTGTAATTACAAACATATGATCTTTAAAATTAGTACATTACAGTAGATTTTTATTTTCCAGTAAGAGGAGGGGTTAGATTGGTATAGACAAATTTGAAAAATTAGATGGCCTGAATGTAAAATAAAATATGAAAATTCTGGTTTAAATCAATATGGTATGATTATACAATCCTTATGTACATATATAATAATTCAACATTAAAATACTTTTACATTCATATAACTATTTAATTATAAGAACAGTTTCTTTAATTTTTAAATTATAATATAGTGTATACCATACTGTGTTCTAAATATATTTATGATCAGAAGTGTTATAATTTCATTTGAGTTTTAAGGGGATTGGAGGCAGTCAATGTTTTGGATATATTAGACCTAAAATTTTGAATTTTTCAAATTTCTTAAATTTTTAGTAATCACTTCATTGACTTTTTTAAGTAATAGACAGTTATTAAAAAATCGACTTCTACGATTACCTGGAAAAAAGGTCGATCAGCTCAATTATTTTTATAGAATTAAATGTGAAATCATTAATGAACTCTGAGCTTAACCCAAATTTACCCGACAAATTTGGTTTAAAATACAGATAATAAACATTTTATGAAAATTATCAGCTAACTGAGACTTGTTTAAGGATCAAACGACTAAGAGACAACCATAATATTATTCTTACCCATCGTGGCAATCCATCAAGTCCCATTTAATGTCTTTTTCTCCCTAGACATACGCATACATCAGGGTTGAAAAAAACAATGCTGCTAGGTATTTTTTTTTACTTGCTTAAACATCAAAGAAAATGGCTTGATGTAATTCGACTCGGTGAATTTCACAGCCCTCATTTCACTAATTGGCTTCATAATTTGCTCAGTTACAATACTTATTTATCAATTAAACTTCGCTTAAAATTATAAATGTGATCAGCTGTCACTGTAGGAGAAATAAGCAGCTAATGAATTACTAGCAACTTTTTGGTATATATCTTAACCTTTGTTCGACTAAGTGATATGATGTATGTGCAACGTTCAAATTAGAACTAAATGATAAATTCAAAATAGTTTAAGGGCCTAAATTCTCTATGAATTGTTTGAAGCCAGTTATTAAAAACTACAATATTAGCCAGAAACTTGATGTTTTAATGTACTTTTTTATTTTTAATATACTAGCCACTTTAGATACTAGCTTGTTCCTGATTGTTAATATACTATATCATTATATTATATAATTCCACCACTACTCTAAATTTATATGGTACTCCAACGAGACATGAAAATGTTCTTTCGTGGTTGCAGACTCGGCTGAAAAACTTTTTTTCGGTTACGTGCCAAAGCTAAGACATAAAAATGTCAAAAAAATTATTATAAACTATTCCAAATTACAATCACAGACTCCGATTGTCTTGTATTTTCATATTTAATCGAGGATGACTTCATAGTAACACGTTTTTGGATGTTCGACCTAATTTTATTGAATACAGGGTACTTTGGACTAAACTAAAATGTGACTTTTTGTAGAAATAAATGTTTCCTTTTACACAATAAAAATCCACGTACTGAGATAGGTCTTAAACTTAATAAACATTTTCCTAAAGACATAAGTACATCAACAGTGTGGTTTTAAAAACCATAACTATAAATAAATCATGGATCGAGTAAAGTGCATTCTACGTACAACTGAAATTGTTTATAGTATTTCTTTTTATGTATTGTGACTCTTAATCTACTTTCTAAGCATTTACAATTTGTTCACAATGTGCAGGTGTAAATAATTGTTCCTAGGTCTGGTTGTGTTTTATGTAATTGAATTTGATATATATAATATATTTTATTTGGTTCTTTCAATTTTTTCAGGCATAATAGTATTTATCACTCACCAAATAACGCCATTAGATTTTGTCGATTCCTGGCTAAGTAGATGCCTATGTCTTGCACAAAGTTAAACTCAATCCTTTAAATAGTTAAGATAGAAAATGAATATGAGATAACAAAGGAGTAAGTTTTTCTATATTTTTATTATTTTCCTAATTATCTAGTTAATTACTTTCGGCTTTCGTCAATTAAAGACTCCTAGTGGGAAAACGCAAAAAAAATATATCAAATTTTAAGTTATATGACTGTACAACATGATTACATTTCAATCATAAGACATTCAATTTTAAAACTTTGAACAACAACATAAGTTCTTAAATAGCATAATTTGTATCGTGACTGAGAAAAAGTGTAAATGGCTTTTATAGTCTCTATTATATATTATTAAATTTAACCACTTCTCAGCTTCTAACATAAAACACTTTTTTAGTCCAAACCTTTACAGTCTAAACCAATCACAGTCCAAACTAGGACAGTAAGAAATTATCAAAATTGGGTCCAGTATCCATAGATTCCTAATACGAATCAGCTTAAAGTTTGTAGTAAAAGTTCCAACCGCATATGATTTTGGATCTACGGTGTTCTTTTCGAGTAAATTGATCCATAGAAAAAAGTTATCGTGACTTCAGATAAAAAATAAAAAAAAAACATCTCGACAAAACCAATATCTTCCAGCTATCGCATCGAAGCTACGAAACTTGTAATAATTTATATTCCACTTAATATTTTAAATAAATGTATTTTGATTTTACTTTTGAGAAGGTGTCGCACCACTTTTTTTCGGCATGATAAATGTATCTCGGTCAAGACACTTTACTGAGGAACTGAGCGGGATTAGTGTAAAAGTACATCTGTATAACATTAAAAATTGAGACTTTATACAATTATTGACATGGTTGATTTTTGATTAAAAAAATGTTACCATAGATAGCTTTTGAAAAACTGTTAGTTCAACATACCTAACATGATAACTCAGTTTCGAAAATAGTCCAAGTCAAAACTTAGATAAAGTCAGTAACACAAATTAACTAAGTAATGGCTTGAGATCAATTAGGTCACGGGCTGAAGAGGGCAGTATGACCACTGTCTCGGTATCGATGCTCCCAGCTCATTGTCCTGTGTGTCTGTTGTCTACCTTACCTATAATGGCTGGATATTAGCTGCCCCCTACTTCATATAATCACTGATTATATGGAGGAGACATTGTAAATTAAATTATTATTATGAATTGTTTATGAATTGAAGTAAACAAGAGTTATTTTATTTATCAAGACAATTACAATAATAGTATGTTACCATTTTCTGACATTATGGTAAACATTAAGGACGGAGAAATCGCGTAGACGAGAACTGGAACTGGAAATTTTATAAACATGATCTTTAAAAACAATATTAACTTCTTAGTTCTTAAACCAAAGTCCCAAGCAACATACTGGCAACAGGCAACTTGCCAATGACAAGGGCTAAAATTATTGTCAACACAGTTTCAAGTTTACCAAAAGCAAACGGCGGATAGCAAACGTCGAAATGTGTTATCTTTTTTATCATATTGTTATTGACAAGTCTTATCTTGGTCATGATAATTACAGTGGCTACCACGGTATACCTTAATATACCGCAGAATACCACAGGTTATCTAATCTGTGATAATACTGTTATCAAATTTGTTATCTAGACTAGTCGAATGACCATGTGCGCGACATGTTGTCATACAATTAAAATTTAAATATTTTTTTTATAATAAGTATTAAATGTTTTAATATTAGATTAGTAATAACTACCTTTTTAAAGGCCAATTAGTTATAGCTACCTTTTCAACAAAATGGATCAACCAGAGCCAATAATCGGTAACATTTTTTTTCCTAATACCTATGTATTTTGTCTTGACAATTTAAATTGGAACAACCTGTATACTTTTTTATGTTGTTTATTAATTTGTACTGATTCGTTTTCAGCAATTAAGAACACCGACCAAAGTCCTCCAGTGGACGACTGTGATGGTGGTGATGTTGGCGAACCGGATCCGCTTGACATAATATTGACTGAAGTTCGAATGAAACCACGGGAAACTATCATGTAAGTTTTTACACATGCTTGTACACTGTTGGTCATTTAAATAAAAAAGCATCAGGATGGTTATAAGGTGTTGCAACTTTTATGAATGTTTAATAGCACAGCTACTTAAATGTCATTAAAATGTAGCCATTCTTTTTGTAAAATTAAAATGACAAGTCACTTGTGGAAATATGTTTCTTATTATTTCAAGTCCTATCTACAATAATATTACACGAGCATGTATTTTTTTATGTTTCTACAGTATTATTATTTTGTTGTATCCAATAGTTCTTGTAAATATATTTTTCTCGAATAAACTAATAATAGTATTACGATACTTTTTCGAAAATGTTTGTCAATTTTCTTTTTAAATTTTACATAGATTAAAAATGATTATACCGTAATAAACTATAATATAACTATGTAAAAATGTATATTTTACTTAACATTTAAAAAAAAAAGTATTTTGTTTTTACTGTTAAGGTAAACAAATTATACTTATAAAAACGTTATTATTTTAAATATTATTGTTTTTGCGTTTGTAAAAGTAAACAACGAATTAGTAAAAATTCCAAACACGTTTTTTTTTATTAACCAAGTACCATAATATTAGTTTGATTGTCAATTGAAATAATGGTTTGATGAAATACTAATTTAATTTTTCAAAAAAGCTGTTGTTTGCTGTACATAAATGAGCAAACATTGTTTAATACTTTTTATGTTAAAAAAAAACATATTTTAATATTTATAGCTCAGATAGCAGCAGTAGTGAAGAAACTTCAGACAACGAAGGCAGTGTAATTTCAATAGCGTCGTCTAAAGACACGTATAGCGGTATACCAAAAACTAAAGGAGAGCTTTCTTTAACGGATCTGCCCCCCATTGAGGATTTATGTATTTCTGTCGAAGAAGAACAGTGCAAACCTATTGGGAGCATTAAAAGTATCGTCGATTCTTTAGGTGATTTTTTAAAAATATTTTCCTTGCTGTTAAAAGAAAAAAAAAATTATAACTATAATATAATATGTGTGTGTTTCAGTTGTTGTGGAAGCGTTCATTAACGTTCCGCCACTCGACATTGACTCCGTTTTGTTTGTCGACCGTGGGAAGCGCGCCTTAGGAAAAATATTTGAAGTGGTCGGGCCAGTCAACAAGCCATATTACACTGTACGTTTCAATGGTTCTGACCATGTACAAAAATTCAACGTCAACGTCAAGGAAACGGTTTATTGTGCACCTCAAACCGATTATACATCTTACGTATTCATTTCGAAAGTGATGCAACATAAAGGTAGCGATGCCTCCTGGAAGGATAACAATGAACCGCCGCCAGAGTACGTTGAGTATTCCGATGACGAACAAGAGAAGTTAGCGAAAAAAAATAGAAAAAGAAATAAAAAAACTGTACCGGAACGCCATGTACAGCAGCAGCAGCAGCAGCAGCCGCCACAGCCACAGCAACAACAAGAAATTCCTCAGACTCTGGTACGACAACAACAACCGCAAAGCCCACAAGTTTATCGGCCACAGGGGAACGCTCAGTACCAACAACCAGTGCCGCCAGTATATCATCATCAACAACAACAACAACAGCCGTATCCGCAATTTCAACAGCAACAAAAATATCCTGCGTGTCAACCTCCGCAACAGTACGCTCAATCCTACCAACAGCCACAGCAATACCCTCCGTACCTTCAACCGCAACAAATATATCCTACGTATCAACAGCCGCCGCAACAATATCCCCTACAACAACATTGTCCTCCTCCTTTCCTCCGCCGCAAATACAGCCGCCCCAACAATATCCACAGCCACAAGTACAGCCGCCCCAACAATTTCCAACATACCAACAGCCGCCCCAACAATATCCTCTGTACCAACAACCGCCGCAACAATATCCTCCATATCAACAACCTAAGGGGCCTTAGCTCCTTCCGGATTTAAATTTGTTGTTAACTTTTCACCGATACTATGATATAGTATTATGTATTACGTAATGAAATTATTTTATTGGTATGATGTTATCGTAAATAAGTAAGGAATTACAGCTCTGTCCCTCAATTTGTATTAATTGTACTTTGCTGTAGGGTATACAAATATGACTTTTGTAAATTAATTTATACTCGACTATTTTTATAGCTTTCCATCTTTATGTTAGTTAGGTCTACGACGCCCTGCCTTCCTGCTTTTTATAATAAACAATTTGTTTGAACAATTTCTTGTTAAAAAAATATGACCGTTAATATTATGCTGTAGTCGGCTGTTGATGAATTTCCACTTTACACTAAGTGTCCTTTTATCATTTGAACTACTTGAAATAATACACGACTAATATTGATCACTGTTTGACCACACAGTTACGGCATAGTTCCAAACCGAACTTGGTCGAATAAAACGAATAAGATAAAAAAATTAACGTACATAGTTTTAATAACAAGCATGAAAATAAATTTGAATTCATCGTGCGTACAACTATTATATTTCAGGTTCTCGTTAACTGTTAATTATGTATTACGTTTAGGAAATTGTTCTCAAACATTATCGATGGTATAAGTAAAAGTTAATTAAGCTAAAATTTGTAAACATATACCTATCATAATACCAATCTATTTTGATTCACTGACACATAGCAACCTGGAAATTGACGACGGTCAAAGTGTAATTTCCCCCCCCCTTTTTTTTGTGGAGGGGTCCTTAATAAAAAAAAAAACAGTTTGACTACGGATTTTCGAGAAAATTGTATATGTTGTAGTTCCATAATAGATCTACATTCGGTAAAATGTTCAGACCTCAATCCTAAACACTTTGCTCGAAAAAGTGATACGAAGAAAAAATGTCTACGCCTTCTGGGGGAAAGAGTTTATGTTATTTTGTTGGTTTGTCAGTATTTATCGGTAGTACAAGTACTATGTTCAAAAAATATTCCATACAAATTAGGATCAATTGGAAAAAATTTAAAATAGTTATGGAGTGCCGTAGTTTTATGTTGAAAATATGTACATTGTTTTTTTGTTTTTCTCGATTTTGAAGGGTTTAAGTGGGAAAGTGGCTTTAAAATTGTTGGTCCAATTGAGTACCTTGCGGGTACGATTTTTGATTTATGGAGATGCTACAAGAAGAAATCGGTTTAGCAGTTTAAAAGGCATTTTCATTTAATTAAACGAGCAAAATGATGAAGTCAGTATATACTATACATAAGCCTTTGTCATATGAAGAGGTAAGTAATAGTATTATAAAAATAATTAAGTTAAATTGATATATTATTTGGTTAAAAGAAGACATTTTTGGAAATAATACGTTAAAAAAAAAACTTTTTCCAAAAGGTGTTACCTATTTCCAATTATTTTTTTGACAAAGCGTAGTATTTCTGGCAATTTAACATTTTGCAAAAAATAATAATGGTTTTAAGGAGTTTTGTATAGGCAATATCGAAGTATAAAGAATTTTTAAGAACATTTTACTATGTTAGTTGATTAACCAGTTAATTTGTATAAGCTTCGGGGTATTATTTTTAATATTGTAGTATATTCTAATAACCAATTTCGAATTTCTACTGCTGTTCGAATACCACGACTGTATAATATGTATTGATATAGTTTTGGGTGTGATGGAGAAAATTAGTAGATGTAATGTCGGATGTGTTTCACTATACAATATGATAATGTGGTCACTTTATTTTCTGATTCTTCAATAAGAATAAAAAAATTGTTATTCATTTTTTGAACGTATGGCTCTTAAAAAAAATTAAAATAATAAAAGGACGTTTAAACCAACTTATGCTAACCGCACTTTCTCTCCTATCCCAACAGTAATAACTTAATAAATAATTTTCAAAGATTATTCAACTGCTCATTGACATCCGTCCCGTCTTCGGGTCCACTAATTTAACCCTATCGACTGTCGTTTCGGCCTGGCCTAGCCAAACGGACACGTTACAATTACTATTCACTTATTACTAAATAATATATATTCAAATATTACAAATGACTGTATATTATAAACATTTTGCTTGTTGTTAAATTTCAGTAACCATACCTGCAGATTTATCAATAACGACACTCTACGAAGCTGACAATAATATTAACAGTGTAAAGGAACATAAGCAATATGGAGGTAATGAATTTTTTTGTAGATAAATAAATAAATTTCCAATTTTTTATAACTTTTTTACTTGAATATAATCTGGTAGAGTTTAATTTTATTTAAAAGCACATTAAATACATTTACACTAAGCTAAAGATTTCCAATTAAACAAAAAGGCCTAAGAATTTAACATTTTTTTTTTAATAAGGATTTTATCCCTGATTTTGAATTAAAAAGTATTTATTAATGGTAAAAGGGTTTATTATAAAATGTTTTTATAGATTGCATTCAACAATATAATTGTAATGGGTTGGCTGTACGTCGTCGTACTAAAAATATTTAGAATTCATTCGTATTTAATACATTTTAACATATCCTTAAGGTGCAGGTACAACAAATGGTAGCCATTTGATAGATATGTAAACTACCCCATCTTCGTTAATGACTTTCTGATCATTACTATTCTCATAGTTGCAGTCCGCGTGGTCAACGTTTATGAATTTAAGATCTTCTGGTGTTATATGACCATTAAATACACTTGAAAACAACTGTAAATAAAAAAAAAACCAATGAATTTATTTAACTGCATAAATCAGATTCAATTAATTAATTTTTCTTTTTATTCCAAAACTATAAATATCAAAAATCCGAAGCGATTGTTATTTTGTATTTACTTCATTTATGATTTCTTTGTCTAACGTCACTGATCTGGACATAAAGGCTATATAATGTGTGAAGCCATGGCCATTTCGTCTTTTTGCGCATACGTATATACCCGCATAGGATTCATAGTTAGTGTTGAACACAACCATAGACGGTTTCTTGTTTGCAGGATCTGCAAACAAGTATATTATACAATTTTCCAATTGGGTATCTATACACTGTGAAGTGGTTTATACTGTCGGTAGGTAAATTTAATGAAACGCTAAAAATCATTCAGCTTTAAACAAAAAGGAATTGTTGATTTATCGGGTGTAGCACAATGAAAGAATTCACAAAAATATTAAAAGAAAACTGTCAAATCATCGCACGAACTTGAGTAATCAATTCTAAGATCGGTAAAAGTCAATTGTGATGGTGAATTTGTATTGGCTTCCAATGCTCCAAACATGAATTTGTAATCGGATTTAGCTTCGTGATCTGCCATATCATCGATTTTCTGTGTGTAAATATCATACACCAAACATCGAGTAACGTATAACGTCGTTTTTACGACGTACCATGGCCCTAAAAACTATAGAAAAAGCGACGGGTTAGAACGAGTACACGCAGGAGTTAGTTAAAACAATATTTCTAAGAAAGTTATTTTGTTGTTGTTTTTAGGAAATGTCAGCTAGGTCTATAAACAAATATTTATACAGTAACTAAAGATTTAGTTTCCGAACATTTTGTATGTCGACTCTTTTCCGCCCTGACCTCGAAAAGTAGCTGATATACCACCCCTCCTACATCTCCCAATTATTATTTTCCTAAACACAAGTCAGTCATACTTGTACCAAGTTTATTTATTTTTATTTATCATAAAGTTCAATTTTACTGAACTTTATGATTTAATATTTGAGGCGTTTCAAAGTTCTGGCGGAACTAGCCGATTTACATACATTTGTCAAATTGTATTTATAGTTTTGGGGTCGCTAAGTCGGTTGGTAAAAATTCCGATAAAACAGAAACTTCTAACGGTGGGGATGAGTAAGAAGTGAAATGAACAATTATATATTATAAATGACCCACATTAGTTTCCTATATATATTTTTATGTAACAATAAATTATAGGCTTAAGTTAAAAAAAAGGTAGCTACATTAATTATAAATACAGTAAAGCTAGTAGATGCTTAACCAATGATAACTATTATGGTTGATTACCACACCGTAGTTAATTGTTTTATTTTATTATTTTATATCCTATCAAGTATCAAACGCGTTACTTCAACTTACTTTTTTCATATCGAAATCTTTCACAGGTTCTAAACTAAGACATTCATGTCCCGAAACGACATTCAAAGAGCTAACTAGCAACATACATAAAAGACCCAAGCCATTGAATTTCATCGTATGACGGTGTCTATAAACACGTAAATTGAATACTTTTAAAATCTAAAAAAAAAAAAAAATCATTGCAGTTATTGTATTGCAGTCAAGTTGTCATCTTGTACTACGTCTGATTGTAGTGTATTATTACAATTGAGAAAATTAGTAGATGTATAGTCGGATGTATTTCAACATATAACGTATTACTATGGTCATATAATTTTCTGATGCTCCAGTAGAAATAAGATAATTGTTATTATTATTATAATTTTTTTTTTTGTGTAGCTTTTTATTTAGAAAAAAATAAAAGACGTCTAAACCAACATAACCTAACCACGCTTACGCTCCTATCATAACTTCAAAGAATTTTCAACAAGCCGTACTGTTTTTAACATTATTTTTAATTTAAAAAGTTTATGAAACAGGTACGTTAACAATTATTGAAAAAAAAACATAAAATTGCGCTTTTCAACAATACATTTTTTTATCCTAAAAGCAACGTATAAAATTTGACTGCAATTAATAATATAGTCCAGAGAAAGTGTTTTTCTTTTTTTTTTCAATTAAAAATTGTTATAAAATAAAAATGTTAAAATGTGTTTCAGCTGTAAGAAACTTTACGCAGATCAGCGTTAGGCACGAGATAATTAACAAATTAATTAAATTTAATAAAATATTACCTTCATTTACTTGTATTATTTAAAAATATTTTAAAAAACCAGTACAGTGGGATCGGGGCATAGTGGGGACAGAGCATAGTTGGGTCGGGGTATAGTGGCGACGGGGAGGTCAAAGGTTTACAGGAATTTTTAAATCTGAAAGTGATAAAATCACTTTCGAAAAAACGCTTCGATACAAATCGGTAGTTAGTATTTTCAAGCCAGTACAGTCCAAACCAAGCACAGTATAAACCAGCAAAGTTAGAAAGTATTAAATTGAGTTTCTGTATTTACAAATAAGCACCAAAGCGTTAATTTGAAAGTGATTTTATACAAGAGGACTAGTACAGTAGAGTATAGGCATAATGGAATCAAAGCAACGAGGGGACGGAAAGGTCACAGGTCTACAGGAATTATTATAAATAAAAGTGACAAAATTGAATAAAATGACTTTCAAATAAACGCTTTGATGCTTATTTGTAAATACAGAACCTCAATTTAATACTTTCTAACTTTGCTGTTTTATACTGTGCTTGGTTTGGACTGTACTGGCTTAAAAATACTAACTACCGATTTGCATCGAAGCGTTTTTTTAAAAAATTCCTGTAAACCTGTGACCTCCCCGTCGCCACTTAGCCCCGACCCCACTGTACTGTTTTTTTTTTTTGCAAAAACGAAGTGGACCAAATAACACATATACAATGTCTTGTTAAATTTAGTTGGAATGGTGGACGATTCAAGTTTCAGCCGTTTGTACTCCATAGTTTAAATTATAATCGCTTATTCTCGATAAA